GCTAATTCTGAATACATTTTGAAGGTAGAGCCAAAAGGATTTGCTGTTGGATTGGCTGTAAGGTATGTGGAGTATTGAGATGGGATATTCGGTTTGGCCATTAGTCTTTCTAAGGTGGCTTATTCTCACCTTCTGATGTTACCCACTTCTAGGCACTTTGGTAGCTGACTATTTCCACCCCGATTCAAAACCCCAGCACCCAGTCTGCCAGTGCCCTTCCTAGGCTTGCTCTAACCCCTGGAGAACAGGTGTATTCTTCCCTTAAGTTAAAAAACAAAAACAAGGGGCTTCCCTGGTGGTGCAGTGGTTGAGAGTCCGCCTGCCGATGCAAGGGACGCAGGTTCGTGTCCCGGCCCGGGAGGATCCCACATGCCGCGGAGCGGCTGGGCCTGTGAGCCATGGCCGCTGAGCCTGTGTGTCCGGAGCCTGTGCTCCGCAACGGGAGAGGCCACAGCAGTGAGAGGCCCACGTACTGCAAAAACAAACAAACAAACAAAAAAACAAACTAATTGAAATGGCTTCCTTTGTGTTCTGAAAACGTATATCAGTATAAGGAAAAGTAAGATTACCTATGTATGAAAATGTAGCATTTTATTTATTTAGTTTTTCTTCTTGACTGAGGAATCAATGCTTAGGCACTTAGGTGCTCATAAAATGAAAATGGACACATAAATCCTGACTAAGGAGGAAGATGTCCTAGAAAAATGAACCTGTGTTTCTGTATCAAGTCAAAAATGACACACGTTTCAGAAGCAATCTTTCCTTTCATGGTGTGGTAATGAATTTAGCCCAGAAACTTTTGATTCTAGGAGTAGTCTAATGACTACAAAAGAAACTAAGTGTTGATGCCTGTTCTGTTTTTTTCATAGTAGAAGTGCATATCATCTGTGCTATCACTGTTTTCTCTGCTTGTACGTTAATCAGAACCCAGGCCAGTGTCTGTAATAGGAGCTGAAGGTGGCATTACTGCATCCATGGGTCAGACTGAGGGAATCCAGCTTTGCTTCTCTGTTTCGGCAGCTACACAGATGGCTTGCCATTCCCACACACGAACAGGAGCTGATGAGCACTCCAGTGCCCTATTTAAGCTTTCTGGCTCCGGAGAGAAGCTATTTTGAAAAGTGTAAAGATTACACTCTGATAATAGACCAGAGGCCTTACACACGTGGATGGCTCACAGAGGATTAAAAGAGCAGACCCGGAACAAATGCAGCTTGCACCTGATAGAACAATGAGGGCGACTTGCTGTCACATGGACTGCAGGGGCTGTTTGAAGGAAGTTCCCTGCTTAGATCATTGATGCCTCTGTGAGCCAACACAATGGCGATTGGTTTAGGGTGCCATTGTCTGCCAACTGCTGTCTTCTTGAGGAACCAATTAGACCACTTTGTACTCCTTTGGTGTTTCAGGGATCTTAGGTCCTAATTGGTAGACTTGTATCTCTAAAATTTGATCTTTTTCTGAATGTTCCTGCATGGAAACTTTTTCCCAGGGTTACTAATCGTCTGAAGAAGTAGATGACTGAGAAAATTCACACTTTTTCTAATTCATTTTAAACAAAAATGATGCAGGTTAGAATTTTGTGAATTTCAGGCCAAGATCTAAAGGCTGTTCCTAAGAGGAGCTCATGGCTGGACAGGGACCTTAAGTTGTTTACATCGGATTCAAGCAGTTGAAGGCTTTGGGAAGACTGGCTCACTCAACTGTGATAATACCCACATTTTAAAGTGCTGTTTTTGTTCAATTTTGATATTAGTGTTATATCAGCTCCATAACCTTACTCTAAGCTCTGGAACAGTTTAAGTGGGATTGGAATTATTTACTTACTGGTATGAAAGAATTGACCTGTGAAATTGTATAGTCTTGGTATGATTTGGGGGAAGTTACATCCACTGAGACAATGGCTGAGGGAGGAGCATTAGTGTACTAGCCAGGACTTTGGCCCCAAACTCCAGTGTGATCCCCAGTTGAGATATGCTGGAGCACTTGGAGAACTCTCACCTATACTAGGTTGACCTCTATGTCCTTGTAGAAAGCAGGCTGAAGTGCCCACCCAACCTCTTTCCCTTGAACCCACACAAGAATCTGGGATTTTATATCCCTTTGGTAAGGAACAGCCATGCCAGAGCCCTGTAATTGCTGAGAAAATAACAGAACAAAAACAAAAGAGTCAGAGTTTGATCTAATGCTCAGAGAGCCTACTCTTAACCCTTTCAGGCTCAGGCTCATTCCCAGAATTCTGGTTCAGTCTAAAATGGGGCTGGGATTTTACACTTTAAACAAGTTCTCAGGTGGTGCTGCTGGTCCGGGGACCACACTTTGAGGAACACTGCCTTAAGGTATAGTTTGTATAGAAAAACCAGAATAAATGCTCATTTCTATTGATTTCCCATTTTTCTAGATAATAATTCAGTTCCCTAACAGCTTCCAGAGGTGATCAGCGATTTTTATTTTCATAACATTATGAACACAAATATTGTTTCTAACATATTTAACATGTTTAACGTGTTTTAATGACTTGCAGTATGTGTTTTCTTTTTGAAACACAAGTTGTATCGTGTTTGGCCTATGGAAGCCTCTCTAGGTTGACTCTATGTTCTTTTAACATGATCCATTCCAACAGTCTTTGAAAGTTTCCTTGTTTTCAGGTACCAACAAAATGCTGCAGGTTCATCTTATAAACTTCATACCCCAAACTTGAATTCAGCCACTTTTCCAGAGAATCTCGGTTCCTTTTCATGTGAATCTATATTATTTTTTGCTATTTCTTTCTAATTATAAAAGCATATTCTCATTACAGAAGGTGTGAAAATAGCACAACATTATAAAGAAGTAGAAACATAATCCAGCCATTTAAAGCAACTACTGATAACATTTTAGTATGTTCCTTTCTGGATCTTTTTGCAATGAAATTCTACATGAAATTATATATAAAGTAATATCTTATATTTTTCATTTAAAAAAGAACATTCATAAAAATTTTCCTGTATCATTAAAACGTTTCATGAGCATCATTTCAAGAGTAGTGTTATGTCCCACTATGTGAACCATAATTTCCTTAATTACCGTAATTTCCTTAATCATTCTCCAAATATTGGACATTTGGCTTATTTTTATAAATTATGCTTCAGAGGACAGCTGTGTGCTTAAATCTTTGTTCCCATTTAATACTTTTTTTTTTCTTAAGAATCTATTCCAGAAGTAGAATCCATGGATCCGAGGATATGAACATATTTCAAGTTCTGAAAATCTATGACCAAATTGCTATCCAGAAACCATTATACTATACCCTTGCCAGCACTGAACATTCTCATTTTAAAATGTTTAGTGTGATAGATGAGAAATTGCTATCATTTTTGTCATCTGAATGTTTATTCTACATAGATTAACACTTGATCTGTTAGGATATTGCAGATATTTTTCCCAGATTATCATTTGCCTTTCGGTTTTGGTTTTGATACACAGAAACCTTCTATACTTATGTGCTGATATATTCAATTGAAACTCCTTCTATTGGGTTTATAATGTCTACATTGATAACAGAAATAAAAAGGAAACTGACATCCAGTTTATGTAAATTAGCTATAAAACTGATTTTCCTAGAGCACATATGTTATATAAGGCAAGAAATAAGGGCAGTAAAGGAGGCTTGTGATTCCTCCATGGGGTCACATATGAGTGGAGCCCCGGCCTCATACTGTAATCTGTGTGCAGCAGGTCCTTCCCAGCTCTGCTCATCTCTGACAGGCAGTTGGGTCTCCCATGTTTGGAGGGGGCAATCTTTGTTGAGATAGTCACTGCTAGAAACCAGTTGTCATTTAATAATCCACGTGGGCCAAAGCCCTTCAAAGATGTCTCAACCAGACCTTCAACAAAAGTGTTCTCTGGCCACTCTGCCAGAGCCTCTCTGTTCTCCATCAGAAGAACAGGCAGAACTATAATAATAGAAGGAAAGGATGAAGTCATCTCAGTATAGGAGCACAGTGTGGGAGGGACAAGCTCAGAACTCAGTCTAGTTTGTGTCATGAAAGCCATACTTCATCCTCTGCACGGATGTGCCCCAGTGGACATTCTCTCTCCTTGACTCTACTTTCTCTCTCTCTCTGCCTCAGCTTCCCCCTTTCCTTCTGCAACTCTCTCTCATGAAGTCGTTCAGTACCATTTCCGCACCCTCCCTCTTCTCTCAGGGAACTCCTTGCATACTTTAGGATTAAGAGTTTCCTCCTTTGCATTTTGCAGACTCCAGTAGTGTCCGGAGTTTCTCCAGTGTGCTCACCGCAGTTTCCTTCTGCTCAATTCCTTGCTAGGCTGGGAGGGGTGAGGTGGTGTGAGGCTTAACTTTAGTTTCCTATTTAACCGAACACGTAAACACATCGCATCAAGGTCAGTATTATTTTTGTTAAGGACGATGCAATTTAAGATACGCCAAGAGAGAAATAATTTGTATCAGCATGACTCCGGGCCTTGCCCATCTTGGAACAATAAACCTCACTATTATTGTGTTAAGGAGCATTTGGCAATCTCGGAGCCTGTCCTGCTTTACAGAAGGAACCATATTCCTTTCAAAGGCCCTTTCCTTGCTATGCAGGGTGGGTGCTGCCCGCTCCAGTTAATTTGAGCATCAGTTCATCTCACCTCAAAATGGCATCCTCCCCACCTGCCACCAAGATAAATTATGTTCTTAGAGGATTGTCAGTCTCTGTATTTACTTTGGCGCATCTACTACTTGTATTTTTCAGAATAATGCTACTTGTGTTTTATACACACACTTTTTTAGAGGAGAAATATAAGTTTAATTTTGCTTGTATAAATAGGTAACTTATGAGGTAGAAAATGGGGCTTTATGGCAGTCTTCTGTTTCTACTGATGAAGATGGCAATTGAGAAAATTTTCCTAATTGTGAGCAAAACATTTGAATGGTTATTTATTTAAATGTACAACCAGTAGGCTTACCTTGCCCTGGAACTAGGTTTAATGAACATTTCTCTCTCTTTATGTAGCTAAGCAGAAGCTATGGTCCTGTCTTCATGGTGTGCTGAGCTCAGAGGAAGACGTGAAATGATTTGCATAAGGAGATTCATTGACAAGAAAACTGCTAGAGTCCAAACTTGAGGCCCAGGACTGGAAATGAAACAAAGGGCCCCCCAACAGGAGCTCTCCATGGGTGAGTCTGGGCTACAGCCAAGAGTGCAGCACATGCGCCTTGAGTGGGCTGGGGGCCCTGCTTCAATCTGTGGCTGTGGCTGGCTAGTGCAGCAGGCATAGCCACCCCAGCAGCCCGGGGAACTTTAGCAGAAAAGGCTAAGCATGTGCTTTTGAGCTGCCCAAGTTATAAGCTTGGGATCCGAGGATGCAGTATTGCTGTGGATGTGCAGGATCTTTATAGAGATTATTGCCGCAGCTGTAGACAAGTATCCCTGTGTTTTTATGCAACCAGTGAGATATATGAGAATAGCAGTGGATGAGTAGAGGCTGTGGAATTTATGTGAATAGCGGTGGGTGAGTAGAGGCTGTGGAATATATGAGATAGCGGTGGATGAGTCGAGGCTGTGGGATGATCGTGTTTTTCTTCGTATATTTGTGGAAGCAGGATGGATCCCTTCAAACTGAGCGAGCCCCCGGTGTTCTTCCACATTTAGGCATGGTGGGGGATTCAGTGGGGAGAGACTAGATTTCTTAAAGTTGCTCAAGCCAGAAATCTTGGATTTCTGCTTTCCCTTCTCCTATTTCCAATCTATCAATCAGCCCTAATGATTCTACCTGTAAAATCTAAATGAATTCATCTGCTTTTCTTTAATTCTGCTTCTGTGATGCTAGATAGATCACTGGCATTGCTTTCCCAGTTTACTCACCTCCTGACGGCTGTTTCAGCTCTCTTCCCTGTTTTATTTATTCTTTATACAGAGTTAACTTTTAAAAATATAAATCAACCTTGTCATTCCCTTCCTAAAACGCACCAGTGACTTAACATCCTGCTCAGTATAAAACCAAATCTCCTTACACTGGCCTACAAGCCCCTAATGGCCTGACCCCCTCCAGTCCCTTCTCTTCCCACTCTTCCCTTTGCCCTCTGCACTGGAGCCACATGACTTTCTGTTTCAGGAACAGGAAAGTTCATTCCTGCCTCAGGGCCTGGGCACCAGCTGTTCCCTTTGCCTGCACTGCACTTCTCCTGGCTCCTCAGCTTCCACGTCACGGCATCAGAGAGGCCTTTCTTAGACACGCAACTTAAGGTAGCCCCCTCTCCCATCATTCTGATATTTTCAAGTTAACATTTACAACCACCTAATATTTTCTTAATTATTTTTATCTACCTACCTATCTTTCTATCATCTCTCTAATCTAAGCTAGCTACCAGTTTATGGTATAGTTTGTGGAGGCAGGGAGGGAGTGTTGACAGATGAGTGAATAACTGAATGAGTGGCTAGCTATGAATTAATTCATTTAGTATTTCTTCCAGTATTAGACTGTAAGTTCCATGGGAGTGGGGATTTTGAACGGATCTGCAGCTGCCAGAACGATGCTCAGTGCATAGTAGTCATTCAATAAATATTTGTTGAATGAATGAAACAGCTGAAGTGAGTAACTGAAAAAAAATAAAGGGGATAGACTCACCTTTATTCCCTGAGGGTATGAAATTCATCTCACCTGTCACACATAGTTAAAATGTTTTAGTGTTTCCCAGGAGGTGAGTAATGTGCAAAGTGCTTTTGCAGTGCCTCATTTAATACTTACAACAACTTTCTGAGTTACATACTATGTTATTTCCATTTTATAGATGGAGAAACTGAGGCTTAGAGAGATTAAGTAACTGCTATTTAAGTCAAAGAGCAGTATCTCCAGTCACTTGATGCTATCTAGTTATCTGTTAATATGGTTTCATTCCAGTAGTTTATTGAAGTTATAATTTTTTAAATAAGATTTTATACATCTTATAACAGTAGAAATAATCATAATAATAGCAACAATAAATGGTAACAAGCATCCTTTCTTGCTTTTTTCCTGTTCTGTGGGGAAGTGCTACCTTTTGGCAGAAACAGTTATCAGCAAAGGACCAGGTTATAAATGATCAAATATGGAAACAAGGCTCTGTCTGCTCCGTTACAGATTGTTTTTTCAGCTTGCAGGAAAGGAAGAAATAGAGTGAAATAATCTCAAATTAAAGGGTATGTGAAAGAGACCTAAAATAATTAGCAATCTCTTCCTCTCATGTAGGAAAAACACTCTGTATTTTGGGTTTTTTTTTTTATTTTGGAATATCTGGGCCCCTTTTGGAGGCAGAGTTTGCTTTTCCTAACTCTGTAAGGTGCCCGGCTCCCAAGAGCAGACTGCTTTGGAAGGTAGCCCCACCGCCAACTTTCAGTAGGCCTTGCGTTTGTCTCCTTGTGTCCATCCCACTGTTTCATGACAGACATATGGAGTTGATTCTAAACGACCTGCTAAGCTTGGGTGTGATGCTTTCAGACATGAAAGCTTGATTAATGGCAAATGTTAATTGAAGCAGTGAATTATTAAAGTGTTTTTCCATAAATGATAAATGCTGCTGCTGGCTCTTTTGCCTCTTGTGACATCATGAAACTTTCCAAGAAGTTGCTAGCTTTGTTCAGGGAAAATGGGAAGAGGTGTCTGCATTTGATGGCATTCGTGGTAACCTGTTTACGCTCTGTGGCCAGGCTTCACTGGGGATGACACCACCTCTTCTCCTGGAACCCCACATAATCTCAACCAAACAAGGAAATCATCTTTCCCTTAAATGCAGAACTCTATCCAAATGGTCTCATCCAGCTTCCTAGCTTCGGTGCCCATCAATAGCTGATGACTCCCATTCTTTACCTGAGACTCAGATTTCCCCCTGAGCTCCAGACTTATAAACACAGTTATTATTTGACAACTCCACCTGATCCCCCATGGGATCTCAAACTCATATTTATTCATTTAACAAATAATTATCTAGTACCTACTGTATGTCCCCAGCGCCACTTTGTTCTAAGCACTGGGGAAACAGTAATGAACAAAATAGATATAGCTCCTTGTGGAACTTACATTGTAGTGGGGAGGGGAGGAGACAAATAAACTAAGGCAACAAAAGGGGAGCAGGGAGTGCTGAGCATTGGAGGTGGTGGTAGCAGGGGTAGAGGTTTTTATAAAGTGCTCAGGCAATGTCCCATTAGATGATATTTGGGCAGAGACTTAGAAGAAATTCTAGACGGAGCTAAGATTTAAATATAACAAATGAAACTATAACATATTCCAAATTGTCTTTCCTTTCAAATTTTTCCCCTTGTCCTGCATTCACAATCCCCAGGAATGTTGCGTACAATCACTAGAGTCACATACATGGGGTTGTCTTCCTCCCCAACCTCTATTTTATAGACGAAATCATCCTCTCACCCATTCTGGATTCCTGGAACTTACACCTTCACAGAGACATCAGGTAGAATCTTCAGCCACCTTTCACTGGCTCCTCCCATGGGAGAAGGAAGGATGGATCAAATAGACCAGATGGAGAGAGTCTCTCATCTATTCGTCCAGTTTCTTTAGTGCTCTCTGACAGCATTTCTCAATTTAATGTTCATAGGAGTGAGTTAGAGAATCTTATGCAAATGCAAACTCTGATCCAGCAGGTCTTTGCCATAGACCTGAGGTTCTGCATTTCTGTTAAACTCTCAGGTAATGCTGTTGCCGTTGGTCTGTGGACCATGCTCTAACGGTCTACCAGAGTCCATAAGGGTGTGAGAAGGCTTCAGTCCTTCTTGCTAAGTACTTTTTCAGCAGCTCCAACTCTCCTCATGTGTAGGATCCAATATATGGTTTTGAGAGCAAGTATTAGAAAGCCCATTTTCACTCTAAATCCAAGCCAAATACTCCAATCCAGATTTATCAGATTAAAGCCTTTTGGTTGATTTCTATTTGACACCTATTACTCTGTTCAGAAGTCAGGAGAGAGAGAGAGAGAAGGTTTTGTTTGTTGTTATCATTTCCATTTTATAGATGAGGAAATAGAGGCTTAATATAGTTGAACGACTGATTTAAAGCCAAACAGGGAGGAAGCGCAGACTGGGATTTGAAGCCTATCGATTTGACCCTAGCATTTACCGTCTTACCTGCTGTTTTATACCGCCGCCAGTGAAACTGCCCTGCCCCAGGGGATCTGGTCCCTCTCTACCGTGTGGTTGCTGTCTCCGTCCCCTGCTTTGTATACCTACACACTAGTCACAGTTTCCTTACCCATTTTTGCTTCTTGGCCATCTTCTTACCTATCAATATGCAGATCAATGTCTAACTCCGTTATGAAGCTTTTCTTTGATGCTTCAGCAGGAAATAATCCCTTCCTATTTGTCCCTCGGTTTACTGTGCACAGAATTCCATCATTTCCCTTGCAATAGTTATTTCATTTATTTGTTACACGACAATTTCCTCTGCTATTTTGAAAGATTGGAATAGTGTTTGATTCATCTTTTCTTCCCAGCACGCTGCTCAGAGCTTACACTTATAAAAAGCTACATATATATTGAATGAATGTTTAATGCTTACGTTGGAACTTAGTGTCTGAATGGTTCTGTGCTTAGTCTTCCTTTTTCTTTCTCCTCTTTATTCCCTTGCATTTTGTTTGAAGTGTTTGATTTCTTCTTTACTGTATGGGCAGAAATAGGGAGGGCAGGAGCAATGCCTTTTTATGTTAGGGACCTGCTCAGCATTTGGTGAGGGACCTTGCACAAACTTGTCGTAGAATGAAAGCTTGATAATAAAGTATTTTTGTATCCTAAGAAGAGCAGAATACAACTTTAAGTCAAAGTGAAAAGAACCAGCTCTTCCATTAACAGGTATATGATCGTGAGCTAGTTACCTAAATTATATGAACTTTACTGTCCTCATCTGTAAGATGGTGGTGTTGACATCTATATCACAGAGTTATTGAAGGATCAGATGAAATAATACATCTTAAAGAATAGCAGGGGCTCAATAACTGTCAATCTCCCAGCTTCCTCTTGTCTGTTTTTGCTGCCAACATGAGGTTTAGACCCTCATCAGACTTGTTTCTTTCTACTTCCTGTCTCTCCCTCTTTTGTCCGTTTTACATATGCTACCATGGCCCTCTCCCTAAACACAATATTTATCCTGACCCTCTTCTGCTCTAAGATTCAATCGCCAACAAGATAAAAT